CAAAACAACTCGAGAAGGAATCGGAATGGAGGTGGCGGGACGCGAAGTGGAGGACTCCATTTTGATAACCTCTCCTGACCGTGTTTCACGAGCTACTGACGCCGAACACCGCTCATTCTATTCGGTAGCTTCCCCTCTTCAATGCTGTGTTGCCAGCTCGCTCATACATCGACCTTACTAAACGTATAATACAAACGGAACTTATTTTCTGGATATCCCTCGTACATATATATATATATATAAACTATTACAAACTAAACTAAAAACTAATAAAAATTAAATAATAATATATTGTATAAAAACTCGAAAATATAAAATTGAATCATCAAATGTTCATGCACGCAGAAAAATGTATACGTAAGTAATAATGACTTCTTCCAAATATTTTAAAAGTTCATATATCCGCAAATCCATTGTAAGTTTATCATAAGCATCCGGTTTATTCAAAATATATTCTGAATTTTAGAAAATTTAATACTTCTCAATCAAGAATATTTAATTAAATAAAAAATTCGATTTATTTAAGAAGAATTCTTCCTTTACTTGAATCAAATATCATATTTACTTGTAATATGAAAATTATTATTATATCTTAATGAAAAAAATAATTCTTTTGTTATTATTGCTTTTTATTTTTACTTTTTAATTTAATTTATATTTTTACTGTTTCACATACTCATATTCTGTCTTATTAATTACAAGTAATTATTGAAAAACGTATCGCCGGCAAGATTTGAACCTACGATCCCTAGAATGATAAGCCTAATACATTTACGTTGAGCTAATCGCCACGCTTGTGATCGAGTCATTGCCAATGGTATATTTCCTATTGTAATTATTCTTAATTTCATGATGACAGTTTCATATTATTATTTGATGAGGTTATATGAAAACGAAATAATATACTGGTATTTATTAATTCAAAATAATTAAGATAAATATTATATACAAAAACACCATTATGGAACAATATAAAAGTCATCATGTTGCATCATATTGCATGCACAATTTGATCCCAAAATAAATATTTATTTAAATTGAAAATATGAATTATTTCAAACAAGAAAAAAATTTCTTGTTTCTAAACTAGTTTCGCTTTTCCTAAATCTGTTGTATAGAATTGAAAGAATATACCTAATTTTTCTGACTAAATAAATCTTCTTACATCAATATATTAAGTGTAGTAAAAAGAAATCCATTATTTTTCCAATAGATGACTTTAGTAATCTGTATCACGCGTATACAGATTACTAAAGCCATCTATTGGAAAAATAAATTTCTTTTTACTACACCTAATATTAAATATCCAAGTTAATCAAATCTTTTCTTCGATAAAATTTTATAATATACTTCAAAAGAGAATAAATTCTTATTTTGAGTACATGACATTGAATATTTCTAAAACTTGGGATGAATACATTTTAAGATTACTAGCTAGAAAATATTCTTTATTGAAAGTAACCGTTATTTAAAAGAAGAAAAATAAAATGAATAATTACTTTTCTTGACAATAGAATGATATTTTTCACTCGCAAATAGGAACGCCATTATTTTGCTACTATGGGAATACAACACCTTATCTAATTCTACCATGACTGCAGTCACCTATGACTCTTCTAGTATGTTCTTCATATGACTTAGTGTGACAGATCATGAGGCAAGTAGACATGGTGTATTCTTGCGCATGTTTATCTGCTGCAACCAACCAGAGCTTGACCTTTTTTTCGCAATTTTTCGAACAGATAGGCCATTCCCGCTCCTCGCGGCCCGCGCGTCGTGTGCTCGGTGGGCCGTACCTTCGACAAGTAAGTCGAGTAAGTCGAGCGGACGCGCGTATTCGGCTATCTTTAAACGTTAATATCTCGTTAATTATTGCGAGCATTACAAAATGATACAGGACTTTTCTATTCAGTTTAGTCCACTCTATCTGCTCGGGACGAATGGGGCCGTATATTCATGTCATTCTGTATATACGTACATACATATATGCGTTCATATCGCATATAAATCACGCACAAACGCGCAGTAAACAAGTTTTCAGACAAGGACAGATATTGGAGACACTTCTATTACATTGATCAGATCAAAGAGAATTAGAATATCCTCTTTGGGTCAGATACGGTATAGCTCTTCCAGTACATATGTTCTAAGATGTGAAAGGTAACTCATCATTTTTTTCTCTCTTATTTCATCGTTAACCTACCGTAGAATTTTGTACACGTTAATTTCGATACTTCAACTTCATTATATAAAATGTTTCTATGGTAATTCAATTTACTAAAAAACCATCTTAATATTTTGAGAATTAAAGCTGAAGCGCATAATAAAAAAAAATCGCGCGTATATAATAGAATATGCAATTTCTTTAATTATGTGGAAAAATCCATAAAATTTCTTTTTTGTTAATGAAATATCATTGACGCACTCAAGTATTTTTTTTAATTTGTTGAAATTTATTTAAATTTATATTTAACAAATTAAATCTAAATTCGTTTGTCCATATAACATTTTGTTTTTTTTGTGATTACTTTCATTTAATTTTAAAATATTAAAAAATTTTGTAAATCGGATGATAAATTATATTTGTACACCATAAGAATTCATATACAATATATAGCTTACATTACAAAATATTATTTAGTACATTTATAATCATCTTTTTTTGTCGATAAAAAAAGATGCTTTCTAGCATACTCGAGTCTTCTTGCTTCGAGTCATTTAAAGTTCGAAATGGGTTAAATTACTTAAATTTTAAGAAGATAAATAGTAACGGTATTATAGATATTAGGAAAACAAATCTTCATTTCTCCTACGTACGAATTTTTCCGTGTAAACAGATTGATAGTGCGCTCTCTGGAAATAGTTTGCTCAAAACTCAACATTTCTCATCAGTGAAACGTAATTAGGCGCTTTCTCGAATGCTTCCTTGAATATTGGCAAAGGTCGAAGGTGGCAAAAGCGAAGGTTACGTACATTTGCGATCAATCAACCACATGATTCCGACTATATATTACGCAGATATAATTAATTCTAATTAAGTAAATATCGGTCAATATCGTTCTTAGACTGTAATGCATCACTCAGAAAATTTACGCATATATACGTATAAGTCCCTATCCTAGTTAACCAATCTCATTAGTGCGACTCAATCGTGTTCTACGCGAGAATGCATCATTACTGTTACGGGAGTGGAATTATCACTAACAAAGTACTGGTATTTGTAGTAAATGGAATGTTATTACTTTGCTTTCTTCAAGTTTATATGAATTACTATTAATTCGTAAATTTAATCCAAAACGTCTTATACACACGCAGTTTGTGCAAAATAATTGCGAAATATTTTGCAGGTTATGTACGTTTGCGATCAACTACATGTTTCCGACTATATAAATTTCTATTGATAAGAACAAATTTTAAGAAAAATTAAAACTTAGAAAAATTAAAAAAATTAGCAAATAACATTGATGTAATTACCATATTTAATTATATTTTCAAAAATGTATTTACATATATATAATATATTAGGTGTTGGAATTAATTCGTAGCGTATCAATATTTAAATTTTTGATTAGTCGCATAAGATAATTATGAATTTAAAACATTCTGAACACATTACAAAATATATATTCAATAAAACAAATTCGAAAAAATAAAATAGTAGTAAGGTTAATAAACATAACATTAGAGGAATGACATACAGAGTGATCTCGACCTTTTTAGGACACCCTATATATCTTGAAAAATATAAGTTTTACAGAAAAATGTTTCAGACAAAAGTTATAGGGTCACAAAAAGATCTATTTATTGATCTGATCAGTTTGACATTGGGGAGCGTCGCTAAGGTCAGATCAAGGATAAATGGATAAATTTTTACACTGAAAATTCATTTTTACGTAAAAACGAAAATAAGAAAAACAATTTCCAATGAACCTTAATCTTAACGAATGTTATTCAGAATGATTCTGAACAACATTCAAGAGATTTTAGGCGTCGGTTGGACATCTTGCGTAATGCAAAAGCGATACTGTAACTTTCAAACTTATAACTCGAAAAGTATATGAAAAGTTTATAAAAAATAACTTTATTTTAATGTTTTGAAAAGCTCTTGACACTAACTATTAGATTCTGGAATCAAAAATAGGGTGTTCCATTTAAAAAAAATCAATGTGACCTTGATTTGATCTTGGCAATGTTATCCAAGGTCAAACTAATAAGATGAGTAATTAGATCAATCTTTTTAAACCTTATAACTTTTGTCTGAAACATTTTTCTATAAAACTTATATTTTCTGAGATGTTCAGATGTCTTGACTTTTTTGATACATTCTGTATGTGAGATCTGGGAAATAATGATTCGTATATGTTGGAATAACAGTTATATGTCGGCTGTGTTCCAAAATTTACTGCCAGTACTGAAAATTTATAGTATGTAACGTGAACTATAGATTTTCAGAACTGGTAGTAAATTTTGGAATACAACCATATCTATACTCTACTACTCTAGTCGCTCATTTGTCAGAAATGCCAGAATAATGACATAACTTAAAAATTGTCATTTTTAATCGTTTACATTAATTAAGAATTAGTTTAAATAATTAAGAAGGGTCCCTAAAATTCTTTATTCCGATAGAGCAACATAACTGAGTTGTTAAAACTCATCATAAGAAAACAGTTATATCAATATTGCATTATAAATAGCATTTCTGTCAATTGTTTTGCTTAAAAGTGTCTCATCTCAGTTATTATTGAGTAGTTCTAGAAAGAAAAGGCTTTAGATAATAGATTTTTATAATCAGTTGTTATAAATAAATTTGCATTTAAAAAATAATATTACAAAACATACACATACACAATTTAATAATTGAAAACATTCAAACGCAATATTCAAAGTTTTCTGGAAAGCCTGATTTTTTGAGTTATGTCATTGTTCCGGCAAATGTGCGACATATATATGCGTGAAAGGATTAACTATATTTAATTTCGTAAGCTAAAGGTACTCACCCTTCGCATGTGATAATACCGTAGTGCAAGCCGGTCGCCTTGTCCTCACAGATCATGCATATCATAGGCGTTTCGTCTTCTTCGTTTTCCTGAGGCGGTAAAGGAGGCGCAGGCGGTGCCACCGATATGGATTGCGAGGCCGCCTCAGATTTGACAACAGTACCACCATTGCTAACCCACGGTTGCGCGACGGAACCGGACGCCGTGAGATTCAGCGCCTGCATCTGTTGCGCGGCCGGCAGCTGCGTCAGATCGCCGGCCCACAGCCTCTCCATGTTGAGCGGCGGTCCGACGGCGGATGAGTACGTAACCGCGGGGGACGAGGGTGGTTTACCCCTGGATTCCTGGCCAAGGTTCAGCAATAGCTGGGCAGCCGACTCCTCCGACGAAGAGCATGAGGCGGTCGCTGCCGCTGTAGCAGACCAGGATGCTGCTGGTGGTGGTACCGGATCCAACGGTGGCGCTGACCATATCATCGTACGGACGCCGCCGATTTCACCCATTAACACCGTGGGCGGGGGCCGCGGTGGTGCTGGCGCTGCTCTCTGCGCCGGTGGTTTCATACCTTCACCTGAAATAAATCATCAATGATCGATTGTTACAATGTGTTTGTACAATGCCTGAATAATCTATTTATATAATTGTTGCATCTTTAAGGGGGGAGGGAGGGGGTATTCTAGTCTAGCAAGTAAAAAAATCGATTTTTTTTTACATATTTTGTAAGTATTTGGTATAGAAAATATGTCTGCAAAAGGAATTAGCTCGATTCGCAAAATTAACAAAGTTATACATAGCATCTGATAGGGAGCGGTCTCCGGCTCGTTTTCGACGCTTGGACCACGCGGCGTATAATAAAGCATTATTAATTGACATTTTTATTTCGGCTAAGGTCAGAAAACCGTTATTCTTAGAAAGTCGTGTATATTTGGAGTGGGATCTTTCTAAGGTTGCACTTTCATGCTGGCGCTCGACGCTCGATTTGAGCGTTAAACTGGTCACGTGATCGAAAACGCTAAAGTTCAAGCTGAGTTCAGCTTTGATACTTGACACGCGATTCGAGCATCAACCAGATCATGTGATCAAAATTGACGAATACCAATCATCAATTTTGATCACGTGACTTGTTTTGAACTGAAAATGAGCGTCGAGCGTTAGCATGAAAAAGCTTAAAGGGTCTAACGATCGAGTTCGACTTTTCTATGAAGGAACATTTGTTTTCTCAATTTAGTGTAACTTTGAACATTGAGGCGAACGGAAATTTACATGCAAAATATTAAAAATGGATAAAAAAAGATGAGAAATTTAATCGAGTTCGTATATATTATATCAATTTTAAAAGTTATGAGCAATGGGAATGGCTATTGATCAGCAAGCGGAGATGTACGCAAACTCCCGGGACGAAGCTCGTATCATTCGTTCGGAGCGTTTAACTGACTTCTTTCTCTAAAGAGAAAAAAACAAAAGTCGTAGAAAAGAAAAAGAACTTCTACAGGATCTCTGTGAGCAAGAGGAAGGTTTCCTCTATGGCTTCGGACTAGCTAATTGATTGTAAGTAAAATTATCTCCATATAATCAGTACAAAATTTTTTTGATGAAACGCCTTTTTCTTGAAATCAAGTTTTTCAAATTAGTATTATAATATCTCGATATAAATTGGTGATATCTCCTATAATATAAAACCAGTTGACCAATCGAGTCGAGTATGTGCACACATCTTCAGCATGTACACATATGGCTATAGTCCCTACCATAAGTCGAAATATTTTTTTTTGTAATTTTTACAACCATTTTGATGAAAAAAATGGCAAAAATCGAATCTTGATTTTCAATGATGTCATTTTTTAATTTTCAGTATTTTTATTTTCGTTCTGATACCTGCTATAGCTAAACTCGTACTAATTAAGAATTTCTTTGGTTTTTTTGTTTCAGATGAACAGAAGAATTAGAATCGTAGGAGCCATGGATTTATTTCTTTTTCACCACTTTATTTAATATTTTATACAATGCATATTTATAATTACTTTTTAATAAAAAAATTCTGAGACATACTTCGAATATGTATAAATAAGTAGGAAAAAATCTCATCTCCAAAAGTTTTATATTATATTTTTAAAAAATTCGCAAAAATAGCATAAAGATTCGGCTTCTAGATTAGAATACCCCCTGAAGACTTCCCTCTCTGTACTACCTTTGATCTTAAATATACTTTATATTTATCACGTGTAAGAAAAAGCGAATGAAAATAGTGTTTTATTCTGTTGTAATAGTATTCTTAAGAAATATCCAGTTTTAGGTGATCTTTACCGATTTTAATATTCTTTAAATATGTTGTAGGAAAAAGTATTGTGAGTGATTCCCCACAAGAATTAAGTGAGGGACGGCATTGATTTAAAAAATATAACTTAAAATTTCATAATAAAGTGGCGTATTTCATCATGGCGTATGACTTTCCACGCAAAGCAACTTTCAGTCCACTTATTCCACCTTCCCCTACTTCGGAGCGCTCGACTTCTACACAAAGCAACTCCTACCTCCCCTCCTGCTTAGGGACGTACTTCCACGCAAAGCGACTCGCACCTTTCTTCCTGTTTCAGGGCGTATGACTTTCCAAATAAATATTGTTAATCTCGGAGAATCGTGCCCCCTCTTGACAGGAGGGAGGTAAGGTAAGAGTCGTTTTGCATGGAAGTCGTGCGTCCCTAAGCAAGGGGAGATAGGATGGGACTCGCTTCGCGTGTAACTTGTGTGCCCCTAAACAGAGGGGAGGTGGGGTGGATGTCGTTTATGCCAATGTTATTCTCTGTATATTATAGAACTTTTATTTACTATCTCTTAAGCCAATGCTGTCCCTCACTTAATTCTTGTGGGGAATCACTCAGGACACTTTTCTCTACAATATATTTGAAGGACATTGAAATCGGTGAGGTATCACCTAAAACAGATATTTACCGTATTTTTTATCAAAGTCAAAAAGTAACTGAGGTTTAAACTAAATTCTATGGATATTCTTTGTGATTTTCATAACTAATACTAATTGTAAGATGTAATAATTTCCGATCATTGGACCTAAATGACGAATCGAGGAGGAAATTTATATTAGATACTTCTTTGTTAGAAGGGTACGTTTATTATAAATATTATTGCATGTTATTTAAAAATTATATTTAAAAATTATATATGAATAACGCTTCCTCACAATATGGCTGATTCAAAATAGTTAATGATTAGGTATGAAAAGATAAATCGTTAAATAAATTTAATGTGAAAAGTGCTTAATTTAGTAAAAAATACAGGACTTACACGAGGTTGCCGTGGTGGTAGCACCGGTAGTGACACAGCTGACATTGGTACCGCTGGAACTGGTGGAGACAGTTGTTGCATTCTGCCCACCGTAACTAACGGCACTGCTGATGACACCATTGAGTAGCCTCTGCGTAGCGAATCCCTGTACGCTAGTAGTGTTCTGAGACCAAAATTGATGATGAGCCACCAACAGATGCGGTGGTACCGGGGGTGCGCGTGATCTTGGTGGTGCCGGTGGTGAGTGTTGCTGTTGCAGGGATCCGTGTGGTCTGGCTGAACCAACTGCGCCGGGACTAATGTTCAGGTTCAAGTTGAATTGAGATGACGGGCTATTCCGGTGACTAGGTTGGTTGGAGGCTTCTGAACGACCACCGACACCACTGCCACCGCCACTACTACCGCCCCCACCTCCATCAAAGACCGAATTGTCGGATTCTTCCTTGGTCTGGACGGACGATAGGTCGCCCTTTAAGTCCGGGCTGTCACTCCTCGAGGAGGCATCCTGGGCAATCGGAGTCGATGAGACTGCTGGAATTGGCGAGTACGGCGACGTTTTGATCTGTACGGGAGTGATGGAGCGTTGTTGTTGTTGCTGATGCTGCTGCTGTGATTGCTGATGATGTTGCTGTTGTTGCTCATCAGAGACCCTGAAGCTCATCATCGAACCGGCATCCGGGAAGACCGAGTCAGGCGACGCACGATCCGAGCATCCCGCGTCGCGACCCTCTTGACCGTTTCCTCTTCCACCTCCGCCATCACTACTGCCGATACCACGAAGGGAGTCTCCTCGTGGTGGCCCTGGACTCGGGCTGCCCAGCAGGTTATACTCACTCGTTACTCTGATCTGGCAACCCGGCGAGCTCGGCATGTTCGTTTCCGGCGACAGAGTTGAGGTGTCGGCCATGCTCTCCCCTGGAGCAGGAAAGTTTATGGGTGAAGGTGCGTCCGTCGTCGGATTCCCCTGCGGCGAGCCTGCTGATCCGAGGGATACCGGGGAGTCTGAGAAATAAGGCGTTGGTCTCATATTTATACTCGGACTGCGGACAGTCTGTAACGCGACGGGATGTTTTTTTTTTCCTTTTTTCTTTACCTTCGGAAGGACGATTGAATATAATGCAGAAATATGGGATCGTTATTCACGCGCACGTTATATCTCACAATGAAATTGAATGCACAGAGGAATGGAAATGGGAAAGAGGAATCAGCAAATTGGAGAATTGGAGCAAATTAATGATGTTGTACACCAGTCGCATACGTAATTGGTGGCGCAAGCCGATGTTCAGAGGGTGAGGGTGATAATAAGCTATGATGGAGTGTAACGTATTGCATCTCCTTATGATCTTCTTTGATATTTGATTTCCGAATTAACACATTCCAGTGACATTCCGAGTTAATATAATATCGAATAAGTTTATTGCGATATAATAGTTCAATTGTTATTAATTTAAAAATCCAACTCTATTTAATATCAACTTGGAAACATAATATATAAACTTTATATAAAAATTAAATTGCATTATCTTAAAGATTAAATGAGGAGGTCTACACACACTTTCCATAACAGTAACCGTAAAAGTTAACCAATCAGAGATGAAAATTTTCGAAAATTGTTGATTGGCTAATTCTTACGATTCCTGTTACGGAAAATGTGTGCGAGTCTACTAACGTTATTTTAGAAATATAATTTATTTATATCATATTTCTTTACGTGAAAATTTCACGTAAAAGAATATTAATAAATTAAAGCATATGCTTTAAATATTTATAAATTTCAAAACTATGTTTTTTTATTTATACTTCGTTCTAAAAAGATTAACTGTTTGAATTCAGCATTGCGATATTATGCACTACTCAACAAAAAATAGAAAATACTTTCGAACATACTCAACAAATGGTGCAACATCCAAAATACCGTAACTCGGTGAAAAATTGTCGTAGATAAAAAATCAAAAAAGCATTTGAAAACTTAAAATTGCTTAAAGCTTTATTTTTAAAATTGATAATTGACATTTCAATCTGACTGATCCTTTATTATATGGACTCCTAAATGGATATCCGTTAAATCCAAAATTTTTACAAAGATCTATGACGTGAACTAAAAATTATAAAATTGCAATTTATACGAGCAATCGAAAAGAGTGAATCTTTATCTTCAATTTGCTTTTTATTGAATGTTGCACGATTTTTTTTCACCGAGTTATTGAATGTTGAAACAAAAATGATCACTTTTGCTTTTGCTTTTGTAAATAAAAAAATTAAATAAAAAATTATTATCGTGATTTCATTTATAAAACGATTTAATGGAACCGCTGTTATAAAATTGTAAACAGCATCAGTGATGGATTTAAAACTCATTTTAATTTATTATGTTGGTCTCGATAGGCAACCGCTCGTTAATCCTATAATACAGCATTGTGTATACACAAAATATTTCACCTTCCCTCTCCGTAAAAATAACGCCTCTCATAATAAATTCTAATATGAAGTATTCTTTTACAAATCGAGCACTTACAATAATATGAGGTAACATTTTTAAATTACATTTAAAAAATTTTTTTACACTTTTCCTATATAAAATAAATCGATACATATTTTTGCAATTTTTTTTTATCAGTATATTTTCGAAAATACGAAAGGTTTTAAAAATTCGCCGTTTATGCACTTCTTAAAATCGCGATAAAACTCCACTTCTATTTATACTATACAGTCCAAATAGTGCTCATTTTAAATATAAAAGAATTATCTACATTTACATATTCATTATTACTATAATTGTTGTTAAATTATGATTATTATAAACAATTAAAATATTTAAAGTCATTTTACTGCTCAAGGTCACCAAAATAAAAATTTAAATAAAATATCATTCCTCATTAAATTTTCTATAAAAATCGTATTTTTTTAGCCGGGCGTTGGCCACTGAGTCCGCTTCGTCACCATTTATATCCGTCAGTAAAGCGCATTGGGCGACTTTATTCGCTAGAAGCCGCGTCTAGTGACGTTATAGCGAATTCGCTACTAAAAACTTCTTCTAGACGTAAATTTGTTCTTATAATGTATAATCGCGGCGAATACCGCTTTCAACGCTTGTCACTAGCTTGTCGCTAATTTCTTGTTGCTCCTCCAGAGCGAATTTTTAAGTTGTCAGCGTGAAAAGACGAATTTTTCCAAAACGCCTCGGCTATTCAGATTATAAGCATCAGAGAATAATTATGTCATCGAATGACATATTTCGAGTCGCTGTTGTGCTTTGTGACCAATTATTCGCTCGATGACTAGTGACCACTTGACGCTGCGACTTCAAAATTTTAGACGCTAGCGAATAAAAATCAAGTGTGTACAAAAAGCTTTTGATCAGGGAATTCGCTGACGAATTAAGAAGCTTGCTTCAAGCGAATAGCAGCAGAGTCGAGAGAATTCGCTAGCGAATTAATGACGCTAGACACGGCTTCTAATGAATAAAGTCGCTCCGTGTAAATCACGCTTAAGTGTGCAAGAGACTAAAAAAATTTAATTCTTCATGATCCTTTTAGACCCAAGCATCATCTTTCAGCTAGATTTCAGAATCTTCCTGGCATCATAATGACGCGTACTTGTCATCGACTGGAGGTTTGAAGCTTCAACTATCGATAAAATGCTTAATTTTTTAATTGGATTGTTAATATGCGTCTAATAGCTATTCGCGCCAAAAGCGTTTTTTTCTCGGATCAAAATATTTATAAGTGTGATCAACACGTCATTTTCGTTAAAAAAATTTATAATTTATTAATATATTTTTGCATTAAATTAATATATTTTTATTAATATATTAATATATTTTTGCATTAAATTGCAAAAATAAGCAAGATATGAATTGAGTTCTTCAAGTAAGGATAAAAAAACCGATGAGGAAAAAATGTCCGCCATGTCTACGACCTATTTTTATGTGATAAACACACTCTCTAAATCTGAATCAGTGGATAATTCTACTAAAGAATATTTCTGATACTGAATTATCAGCATCACACAATACTAGCACATTTGGCAATGGATAATTAGTGAAATTCATTTATAAAAAAAAATTTGAGCATTATACAGGGTGTCCCAGTAACTCTATTACGAAGCAATATCTCTGTTACCATTAATGATACGCGAAAATGCCTAAGGAAGAAATTGTTTGGTTCGAAGGGACACACATTATGGTAGGAATTATAATTATTTCCTTCTCAAGGTTATATTTTGAGAGTCTTCAAGGTCATCAATATTTTTTTTTAAATAGGACTACATATTTTTATCATTATAGCGTAATAACTGAGGTCAAGACGAATCCATGACCTTCTTTGTGATCTTGAGAATGAAACATTCAGAAATTTTGAGGAATAGGTGCGAATAATGAAATAAGTACAATAGAAAGTTTGGCATAGGAAAATTTATTGTAATAAGTGCTCAAAATTGTTTCCATAGACTCCTAAACATTTGTTAATTCAAATATTAAATGGACGTCGCACATCAGCGAACATTTAGGGTGTTAGAGTCGTGTAAAAAAAAAAGTGGTCCAATTATATAGTCACTCAAAATACCACACCATACATTTAACGACCAACGTTGAAACTGCACAATTTGCATTCACCTAGGATTTACTGGAGACCAGTAATGCATATTGTGTCGATTCACTACTTCAATATTATTAAATGTAGCTTCGTCTGAAAAAAGTATTTTTGATAAGAATGCATCTTCCTGAGTTGATTTTTCTTGTATCCAATTAGAAAAATTTACTCTCTGGATAAAATCATTTCCATTCATTTCTCTTAATGGCAATACGTACATAAATTTCTTGCTTAATATACTTCCGTCATTATAAGATATGTTCCCCTATACTTACGTCTGGTTATGTGGTTTTCAACAAGATGGTGCACTGCCATTATGCTCGTTCTTCGAGCAATGCGTTAAATATTTTATATCCAATTAAATGGATAGGAAGAGAAAGTCTGACTCCTTGGCCGCCACATTCTCTTGATATTAATCCCTTAGATTTTTTTCTATAAGGCTTTATCAAAGAGAAAGTTTTTTCGACAAAGCCTACGACATGTGACGACATAAAAGAAAGAATTCGACAAGTTTGTGCTGCTGTAACATTCCAAATGTTTACAGATGTGCGATGTCCATTTAATACTTGAATTAACAAATGTTTAAAAGTCCATGGAAACAATTTTGAGCACTTACAATAAATTTTCCTAAACCAAACTTTCTATTGTACTTATTTCATTATTCGCACCCATTCCTCAAAATTTCTGAATTTTTAATTCTCAAGATGTAAAGATCAATGTGAAGATCATGATATTATAGGCTATTAGATTCATCTTGACTCCAGCTATTACACTATAATGATAAAAATATGTAGTCCTATTTAAAAAAATATCGATAACCTTAAAGGTTCTCAAAATATGGCCTTGAGGAAGAAATAATTCCCATCATAATGTGTATCCCTTCGAACCAAACAATTTCTTCCTTAGGCGTTTTCGCGTATTATTAACGGTAACGGAGATATTATCTTGTAACAGAGTTACTGGGACATCCTATATAGTTAAAGTACCGATATTTACACGTTCTAGCACATTGTAATTCTAGTCTTATCATATACGTTGGATGCACTACACTTAAGGTAATTCCGATATATACGCCGCATCTAACAAAACTTAATTTATTAAGTATTATTTACTCTTTTTAAGATAAATGAACTATATCAGTAATAACTTTGTACTGTCAACTATTATGAAAAAAATATTAGAAATGCGAAAGATTTATTTTTCGTATTTAAAAAAAACTTTTTGAAACTCTTGCATTTTTAACATATATCCCATAGGGATAGAATATATGGCTACGCATAGAGAGTGGGGGGATACAGCTCATGAAAAATTTACAAATAATGCTTATAAATAAGATGTAAAATGAATAACTTATAAAATATGTTTACAGTTTTATTAAGAATGATAAATATGTATATGAAATAATACATAATA